TGATCTATAGTCCCCATATAACGGTTCCTCGAGGCATTCAGTATTTTGAAGATTTAAGCCGGATTTTTCAACGGCAGTGTTTCAATTTAATTGTTGATGTTCGCAATAGATTGAAACCACAATAGCAAACAATTGACTTCATAGATTCACTAGTTCGCTGGGTTTTGCAGAATGCAAAAAATAACAAAAAATATCGGATCTAAGTCTTCATATTGTAAAAATACTTGAACTCGTGAACAGAGGAAACGAAAACTAAATGGATATATGAGTTAATCGTCCGTCCGGTTCTAACCTATGGAGCTCTAGTTTTGGAAAACATCTTTCCTTTTTATTTTTGTTTCTGCCTTTTCTTTTTCTTAATTTTAGGATGAACACAGTGGACCAGCAGGTTTCTGAAAGGTCTAGATATTCCAAAAAAATATACGCCACCATTTATCTAACCTAACCTATAATAAAATCGTTTTAAGAGTACAGGAGTTGTATTATTGGAACCTGAAATATTAAAATAAACTGATAAAGTTGTGTCTGGAATATTTAAAATGCCAAAATGTATCATTATTTGAGGCTTTCTTTATGGTACATTTTCAATAACAAACATTTTAGAATTACCACAAACGCTTTCGTAAATGTCATTCATTTATTTGTTTTTCAACAGACGGACATTGTTATACCGACTTAGACTTTTATGCTGATCACGACCATATATACTTGATGGGTCTGCCAAGAACATTTCTAGTTTTAGCAAACGGAATGACAAGTGTAATATACACATATATTGATATTTGCATTGATATCCAAAAAAAGTTAAATTATTCATATCAACATCGTTCATGCTTGTCAGAATAGTTTTTGATCTATATGAACTTCGAAGTATAGTGATATAGGGAATGATATATTTGGCGCTTTTCGGCTATGTATATGATATCTCATACTATATATTATTGATGTTGACGGCTTACAGGTATATTAAAAATCAAATCTGAAAACCATATGTAGCCGCTATATGGAACCGATTTTCAGGCAGATTCACTTCTAGGTTAAATTCGGTGTTATATGCGAAAATCCATTTCTTTGGAGCATGCATTTCGTATGGGACCTTTCACCAGCTTCATTGAGCCGGGTTATTGTTATATACAACTTCTAAATTTATATGTAACGATTAAATTGAGGAAATGTTACTATTATTTTTTGTTTAATTCGGAGTAGTAAAAATTGGTCTTGAGTCATAGTCAAAGATTAGACAAAAATGGTCAAAAACAAATGTGCATGCTTTTGCCAAAAAGTAGACTGGTTGGAAGTCATATAGGCTACCTGCATTACTGTCCTGCCATTACTATTTTTTAAAATGTTTGGGTTTTGTGACATTTTGTTTGCTTTACACAGTATTTTCAAATATAAATGAATGCACGTATATATTTTTCTTTCGACTCTCCTAAACTTTTTTTTATCGAAATATATACAACACCACCAGCAACGATCAGAAGGTGTTGAAAACAGATACACAGTTCATTGTAAAACGCCATAAATTGCAATAGAAATGTCCTTACATTTCTTTAACTTTAAATGGAAATGTAGAAAATAATGATTGCGAATATAATTTTATGGCGTTTTGAAAGTGTTTCTGGTTCTGATGTCGTTATAGTTGTAGTTGCCGTTGTCGCTCGCTACTGTTACCTAACGATAAAGTAAATGCATTCATTGTGTGAATGCAATCAAATTTTATGCCCTAACAAACGACAGAAACACCACTACCGCCGCCACCACCATTACCATAACGATTTCAACAAGGAGCAAAACGAAAGGAAAGAACAAACAACAAGAAATATAAATGTCTTTTAATATCAGACCACCGAACTATTTGTTGTTCCGACAAAGGTCGACGACGACGGAAAGGGGCGAGAGGGAGAGAGGAGTGGGTTGTAACACATATTTACATGGAATTGAAATACCATTAAGATATCACCAAGTTTTCCTTATGAAAGTTATGAATACAAAATCATCAGGAGGTCAGGGGCTCTATACTGTGTGAGTGTGTGTGTTTACACACATAAAAAGATCGAAAATGGTATCTGTTTTAAAATGTAAAACAAAGTATCCAGACGGAATTGTTAGATATCCATCAATACCAAAAAAAAATAAGAGTTTTCAATAGTATACCAATTTTTTCAAGATCCATAAAGTTATGTTTTTGGTAGCGGGGACAGCGGCAAAAAAGAATGCTCAATAATTTCTATGTCATCCTCCAAAGACCTACAGTGTTCAATATCGTCCTCCTCCCGTTTTCTATCAATAATAGTCAGTGGCTATTTACAATCCATACAGCAATTCTGATCTCGGCAGAGAGTGTTGAGACTGAGTTCTGCGAGTTAGAGGTACGGGCCAAACGACTTCGACCCATTACACCTAGGTTTTACGCTGCATATTTTCTCAGCTTCTCGATAGATGTAAAGAGTTTACGACCGAATTGGTAGAGTAGGGGCTTGAAGCAATATTTTTTCTTCAATTTGGTTTATGAGAGCTCTGTTGCGTAACTCATCTCGAGTGTGATTAGACCAGTCTTATCTTTCTACATCAAATGTGCAGAAGTGCAAGTTTTATCCTGAAACATTTACCCTGCCAATAATTAAACGAATTTATGAGATAATCCATCAACCGAAGTAATAAAAGATTTTTGATGAAGTGAATGAGTCGCTCTTCAGCATTTTAACAACCCAGTCAAAAAAGCCTATATTGATGAAGAGAGTATTCATATCACAAGAAAGTCAATTAATTATTAGAATTATATAAACAGTCAGCGTGTCTGGGGGAGAGTCTTTGGTTAAATATCCTAGTGCCAATCCTAAATCAGACGAGTTGATGTTTCGGCGTTCCTAAATTATACAAAGTTCTGTAATGGTCCCCACATCATTTGATCAGTATTTTACTTCATTCATATCTGGGCCTCGACGAATATTAGGTTAAGTAACCAAGCTCTTGCCACGGTCGACCCTAGACCCTTAAAAACTCGAAGGTTCCAATCCTTGAACATAATATTTCGTGGAAAGTGTCACAGAATTTTTAAAATTTCATTATGAGTCAATATTGTCCTCTTCGTATTAGACCTAAATAAATATGATATAAATTTTGCGAAGCGCCAGGTTTGGACTATTATTGAGGAGTATCAATTCTGAATGAAATCGGATGTTAATTTCGCGTTTTATGAGCTTCATGGATATTCACAATTTTGACTCTTTGTGGGGAGGTACTAGAAGCAGTGGACCGATACATTCCACCATCACTTCAGACCTTGGGTTAGTAAAAATATTGTGATCTGTGTAATTTGGAGACGAGGTACACGTTACCGTGGACCGATATTGTCCCTTTTCTCACCTGACCTAGCACAGATGCAAATATTAAGATTTAAAAAGTTGGAGCAAAATCGGATGATCCTTTCCCTTTCTGTGCAGTAAAACATTTTTTTGAAAATTTCGACCTTTTGTGGGGGAGGTACAAGAAGGAGTGGACCGATATTGCCCATCTCCGAACTCGATCTAAGTTTGATAATAATATCACGATGTACCAAGTTTGGGCCAAATCGGATACTTCCTTCGAGAGTTATCGTGCACACAAGGCAGCAGACAGACAGACGGATGGACATTGCTAGATCGACTCCAAATGCCCTGAAATGGATTTGTTCTAAAGAGAAACAGGGTCAAAAACTGTTATTTCGATGAAGTCCGTTTTGGCCGTTTTAAATTATATATACCCTCTCTAGCCATATGTCTGAGAGTATAAAAAATATCTCATCCATATTGGTGTACAAAATAAAATAATAGTTCTGTAAACTAACCAATAATACCGTAAATCTTCTATATCTAGATGCAAATTTATTTAGTAAAGTTAGGATCTTTCGACAGACTCAACATTGATGTTCACTAAAAAGGGTTATAGAAAAACTTTAAAACTGTCTATAAAAAAAATCCTAAAACACAAATCTTTTATGTATTTGGATTAATGTCCCAGCGAGTTTCAGACTCGAGTACAACACGAAGTGAATATTTTATTTGAGCTTTTAATAGATTTGCTTCCAATGCATGTTAGAAATTCAACTCTCGACCAGGTGGTGGCAGTGTATTTGTGTCTGTGTGTGTGTTTTTTGTCCTTTACCTTCATGCTTGCACTCAACATCGATTTTACAGCTTATGGTAATGTAAACTAACTTGATTTTCTATTTTTATTTCTTTTTTTCTTGCACACGATTTTCCCGAATCACAATGGCAAATGTATGCACTGGTGTTAACATTGTCATTGTCATCATCGTCGTCATCATCGCCGCCGCTATCGATGGTCGTTGCTCATCGCCGAAATTCCACCTGTCCCGTTTTGCTGGCCTGGCCCCCTCTTTGGATGATCATCTACCAAAAAATGTTCGATTTCAACTACTGCTGATGGAACTAAAATGCATCCTGTGGTAAAACTATGACACTGTCAACACTACATCCTGCTACAACGGCTCTTGCCTGTGCTGTTGCTATCGTCACAACCACCACCGCTGCCGCCGCCACTGTCACTATCACCACTAACTATATCGACGGATGTTGGTGACGATTATGCCGGTATTGCTGTGTTCAATGATTTTTCAATCGCACTCCACCCCCCACCTTTCGTCCGTCCGTAATGCCATTGAATAATCAACATGTTGATTTTATATTCCCAACAACGACAACGGCGTCAACAACAACAAACGCAACAACGACAAAAACAACAACATTATCATCGCCAACCATAATAATATTGCAAACGTTGTTATTCGCTTGCGCTGCTCTGTCGGTGGCCTGGATGGGGGATGCTAATTCGATGCTGGCTGCTGGTCTGGTATTGCTGTTGATGATGGTCCTGTGATGCGGTGAATGGATTTCAATGACTGACTCCTTCGTCATTTGGCACCGCTGCTGGTTTATTGGTTCTTGCGGATTGATGATGCGTGTGCATGGGGGATTTCCTTGAAATGTTTACTTTAGACAATTTTCTCTGTCGGTGATATTATATGCTTTGATTCTCCGCTGCCATTGTCATCGATTTGGATGAGTTCGGATGAACAAATTATCGCCATCGACAGTCGAACAGGTGAGTTGTTGTGCCAGTTATCGGTCTGTGCGTGTGTTCGCATTTTGATTTTGTGTGTACACATCTGTGTGTCGATTAAGCGTTTGAATGCAAAATCTTTAACTTCATCTGTATGAGGTGTGTGGGGCGACGTTTATGGGATGGGACGGATGATGGTGGGAATTCCGTTTTTATTATTTCAACTTAAGTATCCACTTATTGGCTAACAATCAATGTTTGTTGTGATAATACAAATTGAAAAATGCTTCAGCATTAGCTTCAAGGAGCGTGCTTTATGACACAAGGATAATCAAAGATTTGATCAAATGGTTTGGTTGGGTGGTTAGCTGCCGTATTTTTGAGGTCAGTATTTAAAACCTAATCTAGTTCTGGTATAATTTGAGTGACATTGAAAATGAGGAATACGTATGACATATACATAGAAAACAGACCCTTATTTTGAAATTTGCAATAGCACGTCCTTAGGCCTAATGTTTCTTGAATTTTCATTGATATATAGATATAAAACAAGTAAACAAAGGCTATAGTCGTGCGGACACTACAGTATGTTCGAAGCCCTTTTATGTCCAAATCCATTTTGGAAGATATCGCTTTTGAAATTATGTCATGGAGCGCTGTCCAGACATTACCCTTAGCTTTTTGACCAGGGACATTTGCCCAATATTTACGCACTCCGTCATGTTGTTAGTTTTTGTGGTCCATTTTACAGCTAAATACAATCCAATGATCATCCAAAATGCTAGAACTCTTCCCTGTCCTTAACTCTCTTTTTAGGCGAGTAGATTGGCTTCAATTGTGTGATCAGGATTTTTTTCTGTTTTGGAATATTTGGTGATCATCTCCAAAAGCAAGAGACCCCTCTGTATCTCCAAATTTTGACTCATCTATATGATTTCCTTGTCTACGATATTTGGCTATATTCGTCAACGAAATCAGCAAAAACGAAATCAGAAGTTCACCTTTTGTGTATTTCGGATATCGTCTGTAAATGTTGGTATTTTTTTACACAAAAGTAGTGGTCCATTCTACCCGCTGTCCTAAATTCTAACTTAATGCAAGATTTCGTGTACTTTGGTTTCTGTTTGCGACCTTCATAACGGCTGCCAAACCAGGAACATTTTTAGTTGTTGGTCCATTTAAACCCCTAAATATATTGTTGATATCTTTAAAAACAATAGGCCAAGCCCTTCTGAGCCTAACCCTACCCTTATGAAAATTTTCGTGAGGTTCGGACGATAATTGTAATCTGTATATAATAACCCCAACCTGTGTTGTAAGGTGAAAAAATATTACAAAATAAACATTTCAATATTATAAGTCAAATTGAAAAAATCGCATGCGATAAAAAATATGAAAAAAATTCACAAAATACTACAAAATCTATATTAACCTCATTATTGGCATCTTTTAATGCGATTTTTTTAGATTTTATTCTTTTATGCCAAGAGGGCATTCTGAATTTACAAAATATATCATTATATCTAACATCCCTTTCCCTTGTATATACACATTGTATATATTTCACTATATATATCCGATATATTTACTATCGGCATCTACGTAACGTCCAGATTTGACCTGTTCGTCTTTTTCTGATTTCGTCGGGATTAAAAATATTCGCGGTTTAATTGGAAATTTTTACCTTTATTTAACACAAATGTTATTGTATATTCCAGCCGCTAAATATTGGAAATATTGGAAAATTTGAAGGCTTCTGCCCAGCCCAAGGATCTAGCCCCATGCTAACTTCCGCGTCGATTAGTCTATAATTGCGACCTGTAGAGCAACTGCAAAATCAGAAAATTTTTCAGTTTTTGGTCCATTTCAACCCCTAACTATTTTGCGATTATCTCCAAAAACAATAGGGTTCTATTCTGATTCCCTATCCCCACCTCCATTTACAATTTCATGAGGATTGGTCCATAATTGCGTGATTACACATAACAACACATAGTGTTGTAGGGTATAAAAAGTAGGCAGACCCGATAAACTCGACTTTACTTGCGAGTTACCACACTATAATGAATAATGAAAAAGCCGATGAATTGACAAGTATGAGTTCGCAGTAAACAGACCCTGAGTTCGTCGACATGTTAAAACCCCTGGAACTAGTCTTCAGGAAGAAAGCCAAAGTGTGTCGGCACAAGAACAACGTTGCAAGGTATCAAAATAAATCTGACCAGACATCTGATCGCGTTCAACTCAGTCTCTACTAAGCATGAGTACATCAACGTTACAGATAACAATGGGCCAAATGGGATAACTCTTAACGTCGAATACTTGCTTAATGACTACGAACTGTGGGGAACATTCGAATCATGATCTCAATGTTCATTTAGACATTGAACCCTTTGTCTTCTGTAATTTCGCAAAAAGGCTTTACTGGCTCTGGCAACACTCTCTCTATTCTTTCTCCTTCTCTACAAAGATATATTCTTCCTTTTTACGCAGAATGATCACAATGGACCGAATGGTTTCCGAGTTAGTAACAATCTCAATTGTAACGCCATACCCTCTAACTTAACCTGTCACACTATTATATACTTTGTTGGTACAGTTTGGCGAAAATGATTTTCAACGTATTGATTTTTGTTTCATTTGCATCTGTGGTTTAAGAAAATATTATTATTTTTAAGATTTTCATTAGCGTATGACCTCTGAGACATAGAATAGAAAAATATAGTACAGGGCGAGATAAAAAAACTGCAACAAAGTCAAACGCCATATTTTTAACATTTTTGTTTAATTTTATTGAATGAAAGCAAAAAATGTCGGAAATACCATCGAATTTTAGAATATGTTTGGATTTATTCGAATTGGTCACCTTTGGTACGAATATGACCTTCAAACGGCCAATGAAACCGTCAGACGCTGCCTGAATGTTGCTCTGCGGTATTTTTGCCCAATTCCCGGCGAAGCGCTTGCTTGAGATGATCAACACTTTGGTATTTTTTAGTGTCAACCTTGCTCTCCAAAATACTCCAGACGCAATAGTCCAATGGATTGGTATCCGGAGATTTTGGTGCCCATTGTGCGCTGGAAATGAAGCGAGAAACCTCATTTTGTAAACATTCTTGGGTGGCGCGAGCTGAGTGCGATGGTGGTGAGTCCTGTTGAAATGTCCAAGGTCTGCGGCCAAAATGTTTGCGTGCCAAGGCTTTAATACACCCTGCAGAATATTTTCGCGATAATATTCGGCATTTATTCTGATGCCACGGTCTATTAATACGAGCAGAGAGCGGTCATCGGCTGTTATGGCGGCCCACACCATTACCATGGCCGGCGCTTGAGTTCTGGTGACCAACCGAAGGTGCATATTTTCAGCTGACCTCTTAGGCTAGTAAACACGATCATTTTGTTTGTTTACAAACTGCTGGGCAACAATTGTTTTCTCATCGGAGAAAACCAAATTCGGCAGTTCACCACTTTCGGCCAAGCGAAACAACTCTTTAGCTCTTTTGAGTTTACTTTCTTTCTTTTGCGGTGTAAGTTCTTGCACTTTTTGCAATTTCAATGGCTTTACCCCGAGCTCATTATCAATATTTGCCGAATGGAATATTGCCTTTTTTCGGCCATTGCGATTAAAAACAAGCTGAACGAAGTCAAAACTTTGTTCATAATTCCGATACTATAGGGGTTATTCCTAATATTATAGGGGTCAAACGGAATAAATTGTTTTTCTCTCGGTTTTCTCAAAGGTCTTATTTTTTACGTCAACACAAAATTAAGTCCTCGAAAACTATTACTGATATTATTATTTTTGTTGGGTAGGTTTAAAATTTGTTCTCAGAAAAATTTGTAATTTATTGCTATGCCGTGTGCTATTAAAGGTTTTCTTAGCCAAATCCAAACTTAGCGGAATAGAGTTCCATAAAAATCATATGATGGGATTAACCCAGTTTTCCTTAGGAGACTTTATACATGTCGCATCCTTCCTATGGATTTCATAAAAAAACTTAAATGTCTACAAAGCTAAAATTAAGGTCATATTAAGGCAAAAAAAAGAACCAAATCTAAAAAAGACAAAAATCAATATTTCAATCCTTGAGATACAAGATACTAAAATTTCGAATATTAATTGGATTCAACATCAAATTAAAATTAATATGTATCAGTACGAGCACTTTTTAAATGTAAATAGTAGAAGCTTATAAAGTCTATATATACTACACTGGCAGAATTTAAACTAATCAAACGAAATTTGCATTAATCGACTATTTAAGTTCCAAAAATAGCTGTTGTAAAATTCCAGGTTATACCTTTTACTTATTTTTACTTTTTTCTGGGAAATGTATGTCCACGCTTTCGTTTAGACTCAATAGAGTGGTACCTCTCGATATTAAATTTTATGACCCTTCAAAGTGTTGAAACTTTGAGGAGGATGTACCGGAAAGAGTGGGCTGATACTTTTCTTTATTATTTTGGCACTTGACCAAGATTCGGGACAGGTGTGGACCTGGACCTGGACCTGTTGACCATTTTCAAACTAGGTCATCGTTTGGTGAAAATACAACAACTTTGAAAGATGTTAGACCAAATCGGTAGAGACATTTTCTTTAATAACAATCTTTTCAATCTTAACAACAACATGATCTAGAGAGGTACAGAGGTATAAGAGAGAGCTCCTAGATCAACAGGCCTATCAGGCGGGACTGAATAGTATTCACTCTAACGCGGTCTCAGTAAGGATATAGAGTGAATACTGTACTAGGAGACCACCCCCCCATCGCACCTGAATAACGAGAGGTACCCTGACAAACCCGAGTAGTTTTGGTTCAGTTTAGATCCGGATGGTGCATCCGACTCAATTCCTATTGGGCTCGGATTGATAGCGATGTGTAGAACATCTGCCCAGCTTGCGGCACAGGTCTACATGACACGCTGCATCTATTTCGCTGCCAAGCCAAGCTTACTCAACTCCAGTATCGTTGTGTATCGCTACTCCAGGTTCGTTGTTGATCCAACCCGTACAGGTTGCATCCTTTTTGAGACTGGACTTA